ATTATCTCAGTGTTTTGAATTTTGTTGAGGGTTGCTTTGTGGCCTAATATGTGGTCTGTTCTGTAGAACGTTCCATGTGCATTTGGAAAAGAATGTGTACTTTGCAGCTGTTGGGCAGAGTCATCTATATATATCTGTGAACTCAAGGTGGCTGATTGTGGCCTTTAGGTCTTCTGTATTTTTGTTGAGTTTCTTTCTAGATGTTCTGTTCTTTAGTGAGAGTGGTGTGTTGAAGTCTCCTACTGTTATTATTAAAGTTCGTTTTGTGTATTTTGGAGCCTTGTCATTGGGTGTGTGAATACTTATTATGGTTATGTCTTCATGCTAGATTGTCCCTTTAATCATGATATAGTGCGCTTCTTTGTGTTTTATGGTGGATTTTGTTTTGAAGTTGATTTTATCTCGGATTACTATTGCCACTCCTCCTCTGTTTTGGTGACTGTCTTCTTGATGTATCTTTTTCCATCGGTTGATTTTTAATAAATTTACATCTTTGTTTCTAAGGTGTGTCTCTTGTAGACAGCATATTGATGGATCCTGTTTTTTAATCCATTCTGTCACTCTCTGTCTCTTTATGGGTGCATTTAGGCCATTTACATCCAGTGTAATTATTGATAGGTGTGTATTTATTGTTGTCATTTTGTAGTGCTTTGTTTTGTGGTGCTGATATTTTCTTTGTTCCTCTTTTCTGTGCTGAGTTACTTTTGTTGATTTTTTTTTTTTTCATTTTTATAGATTTTGTTTTTACTGAGACTGTGTTTTTCTTCTTTATTTTGATGAGTAGGTTTGTTAATTTTCTTTGTGGTTACCTGGAAATTTACCCTTTTCTTCCTAAGTTTGAACCTGTCTATTATTACTTGATATTGCTTTGCCTTTCTCTTCTTTAGAAAGTTCTATACCTACACTGTTTATTCTCTCTTTTATTGTTCTGACGTTGCTGTGATGTGCAGATTAACCTCTCTGGTTCCCTGTTGTAAATATTTTGTTTTTGAATACCCCTTGGGAATTCATGTCCTAGGTTGGTATTTGGCTGTTCCAATCTTGTGTCCTGTATTCAGGCTGTCATCTGATGTTGTTTGTTCTCAAACTGAAGGGCTCCCTTTAATAATTCTTGTAAGTTTGGTTTGATTTTTACATAGTCCCTTAATTTCTGTTTATCTGGAAATGTCCTAATTTCACCATCATATTTGAGTGAGAGTTTTGCAGGAGATATTATTCTTGGTTGGCAGTTGTTTTCTTTGAACGTTTTATATATTATTCCATTGCCTTCTTGCCTGCATTGTTTCTGCTGAGCAATCAGAGCATAGTCTTGTTGTTTCTCCTGTGTAGGTGACTTTTTGTTTTTCTTGAGCTGCTCTCAGGATTCTTTGTTTCTCTTTGGTTTTAGTGAGTGTATTTATGATATGGCTTGGTGATTTTCTCTTGGGGTCTGCCCTGTATGGGGTTCATTGAGCTTCTTGGGTGGTCAGCTTTTCATCTTTCACGATATTGGGGAAGTTTTCTGTCAGCAGTTCTTCAGTCATCCTCTCTGTGTTTTCCGTCTTCTCCCCCTGTTCTGGAACTCCAATCACTGGCAGATTTTTGGTTTTGATTGTACTCCACATAATTCTCAGGGTTTCTTCGTTTTTCTTCGTTCTTTTTTCCTCAAATAGCGTTTTATCCAAATGTTTTATCTTCAATTTCGCTGATCCTGTCTTCCAGCCCTTCTGTGACACCATCCATTTCTGAAATCTTGTTGTTTATCTTTTGAATTTCTAATTTTTGTTTTTGTGTAAATTCTAGTTGTGAATTTATTTGAGCATTTTGTTCCTGTATTATTTTCCTGAATTTTTCCATTTTTTGTTGTTTGTATTTTCCATGGATTTGTCTTCCTTTCTTATGAATTTGTCTATTTTTTCATCATTTTCGTCTGCTTTTTGCTTCAACTCTTGGATAGCTCTGAATATTAAAGAGATTTGAATCCCATATTAGGTAGTTCTAGTGCCTTTTCATCTTCTGGAAAGTAATTTGGTGTTTTATTTTGAATGCCTACTGGAACCATCCTGTCTTGGTTTTTTAATATGTTTTGATATTGTCTCCTCTCTTCAGGACATGCAGTAATTATTTTCTTTGTTTATTGATTGTAGAATTGTTTATTTCGTCCTGCTTTTTTGTTTTATTACATTATGTCTGAGCTGGCAGGCTGTGCATTCTTTGTTGTTTGCTCATCTGTGGACACAGTATTTTTCACCTCCTTGTCCAATGGGCAAGGCCACTCACTCAGCTGTTGTGCAGCGGGGCAGGTCCAGAGGAAGGGGAGGGCTGGGATGGGTCGTTTGTGGCACGTACTGGGGCAACAGGACTGGCCGGGGGTCAGTGCAGGGCTGGTTCTGGTAGGCCATGCCTGTGCTGCTTAGGAGCGCAGTGTTCAGCACATGGTGTAGACAGGCAGAATGGAGGGGGAGGGGTATGTTTTGATGTGTGGAGCTAGGTCAGGTATGGAAAAGAAAAGAGAGAGGAGAGAGAAATACGAGCCAAAAAACAAAAGTGCTGAGGAATCTTGCCATTGGAGTGGAGAGGCAAGAAACTGAGAAATGGAGAAAAACAAAAAGAAAGAAAATAAATAAATAAAGATTAAAGGGAAAAGAAATACTCCCAGGGATCCCATCTGTGTGGCTGCGCAGACCGGGCAAGCGGCTGTCAAGCCGCGCAGTATAGCCCAGGTAGAAGGTGTGGAGATGATACACAGTGCCAGATGTTCAGGCGACAGGAAAAAAAAGTAAGTAAAGAGTGACAGGAAACTGAGAAATGAAGAAAAATGGAAAGGAAAAAGGAAAGAGGAAACAAACAAAAAAGCCCCCAGGTATCCCACCAGTGTGGCCGCTCGGCCCGGGAAGCAGTTCCCCAGCTGAGCGGGGCTTCATAGCCTGTTAAGAAGCAGCAGAAATGGCACATGGAGTCAGGTCTTCAAGAGAAAAGACGGGGAGGAGGTCAGAGGCAGGGAAGAAACCAAAAATGGCTGTAAAAAGCAATTCTAGCAACAAAGAAATGGCAGTGAAGAAGACAGCTGGTGTGGCCCGGAACCAGCACCTTCCGTGCTGCGGTCGTAGCTTGCTGGAAAGTGGTGGATTGATCCACCAGGAGTCAGTGAATCGGCCTTCTGGGAAGCCGGGTATCAGCCCGCCAAGAAGCAACGAATTGGCCCTCCCGGAAGCCAGGAATTTGTCCACCAGGAATCGGCGTAGGTCTAGCATGTGGAGACAGGGTGAAGGATGGGAAAAGCATGTATTGCTGGTTACCAGGTGCTCTGTCTCCTGCTGGGAACTCTGTGAATCTGCTTTGCCATACTCCCTGTCGACTGATCTCTGACAGGAGTCCAAGATGGTGGATCCGTGCTGCCTTAGCTGATAAGAGACCTCCGCTCTTAACTCTCCTCTTTTTCTGTTCTCCTTCAGTTTCTTATAACATTCGGTGCTCGGTTCTTTATGTCTTCATTTGATGCTTAGGGTTCCAGGATTGATGTTTGTCTCTGTTTTACTTAGTTTTTCGGGTCTTTGCTGTGGGGGGATGGCGTGGTGCTTCTGTCTAAAGCGCTATGTTGACTCTGCCCCCTCCATCTCCTTTCTTCAGGTAAACTTGACTACATGACCTGGGTTATTTTATCTTACTATGTTAGTGACTTGGTGGAGACCCTTGGGACTACTTCCTTATGAAATATTAATGCAGTTGATTAGTTTTGGTTTATATTTAAAATACTGTAACGAAAAGTACACAGACAAGTTTGAGAAGCCCATTTTCATAAAGTTGTAAAATGCCAGAAGAAGACTGTTTGTTTCATCTTTTCTTTAAATAGGAAATCAGACCAGTTTTTCTCTTTACCTTTTCTTTCTATTAAAGACTCCAGATACCGTATTTCTCTTTTATTTGTCTGAATGCCTCATTCTTTAAGGAGAGAGAGCCAGAGTGTGTGTATGTGTATGTGTGTCTTGACTGTCTTTCATAGGGGTGTGTGCTAATTTATATATACCACTCTGCCATTTATATACCATTTCAGTGGAGGAGGAAAGTGTGTGTGTTTTCCCTTCTTATATCTAAGATACTGATATATATTAAACCTAATAAAATCTGGAACTGTAGAAATTTGACCAGCTGGAAAAAATTACTGGCCTGTCTATACTTAAAGATATCATGAGCATGCAGCACTATGAAGAACAGTAATGAGGAAGTGAGCTAGTAATATTGATTTTCATGTACTATCTGTATGGGAAAAACCAAAGTTTATTATTGCCCCTTACATATCAATTTGTGATCCAATTATCCAAAATATGCTTATTTCTAAAATTACATCTTTTTGTGTGTGTGAAGTCTTTAGATTTTGTTATCTAACAGTGTTAAAGTTAGTCAAATCACAAGGATACCATTCTTTTTTGTGTATGATAAGAAAATCTTATTTGTAGGAATTCACCAATGGACTCTTTATCCTTTAGAAATTAGAATAAATATGATTATTATACTTGATGCTTCTATACTAACTTACCTGTAGCTTCTAAAAATTAGCCTAGGACAATTAGTTACTTTGCTGTATATGGTATCTCTCAATGGTCAACTGGTAATGTCAAACAGAAAACTTTCTAGGTGGCAAATGTTTTAATAACATAAGGTTAGAAACAATCCAGTCATTGTAATTTTGCACTTTTGTAACAAGTGTTTTTATGGAAGTGACAAGCATTAATTAGATTTTTTATTTTAATTAGAATCAGTCGGACTTGTCAGATGAAGAGCTGAATGATGATCTTTTACAGAGTGATAATGAAGATGAAGAAAATTTCAGGTACTCAGTATTAACTCATTAAAAATGTTCTTTAAAACAACAGGAACTGTTTGTAATTTATACTTATAATGGAATATAATTGAATAATGTGGTATTATCTTTTAGTATGAGTGCATTCTAAACATTTTTTTCTATAGTTTTCTATAGTGTAGGTCTTGCATTTAAGGACATCCTTGAGTTCTGTTGTGCAGGTTGTGAAAGCTCAGTACAGATTATGTACTGCTCTTTTAAAGAATTACTTTATTTGGATTTAGGGCAATGAATTTGAATTCTTTTAATAGTGTTGGTTGCAGTTGATGTTGCTGCTTTTGTTTTCATTTCAGACAGTTTATTTTTACATATCTGTTTGCTGAGTTATTGTTTTAGAAATTACTTTGGGCATACTTTAAAACTAGTTGAATATCTGAATATAATGAACATCTTTCTGTCGTTGACATAGTAAGATAAAAGAAACAGAGAGAGATATTTAGTATACTCTGGTAGGTGGAATCATTTTTGAATATAATTTATGAGGAAACTTTTATCAGGAAAATATAAGCAGACACTTCTTGGTTATAAATGTGATTAACAAACATATGCTATCGATTATGGAGCCGTAAATTTGTAACAGATTTTCTAACTGAAAGTCATTTTTACTGGTAAAAAATATAGTTTAAATTGATTTAATCTGCCAGTTAGCTAAACTTCCCAGTTCCATTCTTTGACATCATTATTTGATGTTTTGAGTTAGTTAGATTGCCTTTGAAATACATGTTTGGAGATTTTTAGTCACAGAATGTTTTTAAGTGTATGTGGGATATTTCAGTTTTTGTTGGGATTGGATATTTAATATGTGTGAATTTAGATTTATATGCAAAATCTTGCATTTGAAGTGTTGTTGTGTTGCATTTTATTGTTTGGCATTCAGCAGCTCTGATTGAATGGGTGGAATATGATTTTTTGTTTTGCATTTTTAAACCCACTTTTATTGTCTTAACTTTTTGGAAATGTGTGACTAGTATAAATTTTATTTATTTGAACATTGAAATGTATTTTCACATAGATTTTTAATATTTTGATTTTTAAACAGGAGTTTATAATTTACATTCTGTATTTTAAAAAGAAAACTAATTATTCTTAAAATTTTGACTGCAAGTGTCTGCTTATAGAATAATACTCGTGTTCTTACTTCAGAATCTTAGAAAACAGATTCCATCCTTTTTATTCTAAAAATTAAAATGAAATATAATTTGACTTTTGCCAGTCAGACCTGTTTTTACCATCTGGTTGATTTGATTCTATTGGTCAGGTAACCTGCAGCTGATGATAAGTGGTGGTGCTGTATGCGTATGATGCAGACTCACTATAGCATATTAAGCTTTGTTTTCAGTCATTGATGGCGTAAATGTGTGTTTATCAGTTAACTGGAATAACTTTTCACCAGTTGTGGTTTAAATCTCTGTAGTAACAAATTTACTTAATGATTTATTTTGAGCTCTGCTCTAATTGGGTGTTGTTCTTTGTATTTTTGTCCTCTCTAGTTCTCAGGGTATCACAATTAGTCTCAATACCACATCTGGCATGGTACCATCATTTGAACTGTCTGACAACACTAATGACCAGTCTGGAGAACAGGAATCTGAATACGAACAAGGAGAGGATGAAATAGTTTATCACAAATCTGACGGCTCTGAATTGTATTCTCAAGAGTACACAGAAGAAGGACAGTATGAAGGCCATGATGCTGAGTTGACAGAAGACCAAATAGAATATGTGGAAGAGCCAGAGGAGGAACAGCTTTACAATGATGAAGTGTTAGACATTGAAATCAATGAACCTTTAGATGAATTTACAGTGAGTCTTTTTTCCTTTGTATGGGTAAAGATAACATTGCTTCACGTGCATAGGTGTTTTAGACTGATTTGAAATCTGTTTCCCTCCCTAGGGAGGGAGGGAAATTAGACCTTATTATCACTGTGTGCCAGTTTCTTTATCTGAGCTATGACAAAGTTTGTGTTGACAGCTTGTTTGGCCTGAGGTAATGCCCCTTTGTCATCCTGGAAGGCTGCAAAGAATCATGACCTTGAGGATTGCACCCTTAAGGAAGAAAACAGCTTTGTGTGGTGGAGATACACTGTCAATTGTTAGAGGTACTTAATGCAAGCTTTTATCCAGGCTTTAGACAAGATCTGATAAAGTCTTTCTAAGGTGAAAAGATTATTGACCTGCTGAAGACATCTTTAAGGTGCTAATATTCCAAAGTGATTGATGTCCAGTTCATTCATCCTTTTTGTAACTGAGAAAACCTGAATAAAGAGACTGGAGGTTAGTTTAGGAAATGTCACACATAATTTGTTATCTGTAATCAGGAAACTAAGATTGTGCTGATTTTTATTTCAGAAAGATAATGCTGGTAGGTAGTTTTTAAGTTAAGTTGAAATGTCAGAAAAAGGTACTAGTGAAAGATTGCTCATCTGTCTTAATAATTCATCACTGACAAGATTCGCTTTTTAAAGAAGTATATAATGAAATTTATGAGGGCGGAAAATGATCTCAGTAGCTGTAGTGGAATCGTAGGTTTTTCGGGAACACTGGGGTTCCATTGTGGTGAAGTGCAGCAGGCCCTGCTGAGATGGCGATGGAGGCGAGAAGAGTTAGGGGCCTCATGGAGCTCATTCTCGTTAGGAATAGCTGTTTTTCTGTTTTCTATCTTCGTTCAGAGTAAGCTTTCATTTTGTGGGGAAAAAAAAGTTCAGAAATTGCTGAATTTTGATCATTGTTGTAGATAGGAGTAATTTTGAAAGGGATTAAATTGTTTAAGTGGAACCTTAGAATATTTAGTTCCAGGCTTGATTGTTTTCAGGTCTCTCAGTAGTGATATGATTCTTTTTTCACACTTGCTTTTCAGTATAGTAATGAAAAAATGTTTGTAAACTTAGTTTTGGTAAATAGAATCGTGTAAAAGACATCATGGGGACTTGTTTAGATAGCCTTGAAATAATTTTTTTGGGTAATAAATTCTTTAGCAGTATGGATTTGATTTATTGGTGTATTTGGTATGTTTTCTTAAAGTGGAATACTATAATTTAAAATGCTTTTTAAAAGTTAAGTCAACATCTCTTAGAAATGTACCTAGTTATTCCCTAGTTACAGTATTTTATTATGTCTCTTAAATGTCGGTAAAATAAGATGATTGACTCAGTGATCTCTGGAGTCCTGTCCACTTACAGATGCTGTAGTTCATATTTTTATTGCTTTCCAAGCACTGGGGGCACAAATATTGACAAAACATGAAACATGGTCCCTGCCCTCAGTGAACTTAGAATTTAGTGGGACAAATCACAGTGTGGAAGCACTTGAATCAGTGTGTGCTGCCAAATAGGAGGTAGTTATTACCTCTGCCTTCTCGTAGAGCTTGTTGTAAAGATATTTTAGATTAAGCGAGTGATTTTCTTCTGTTGTATTCCACTGTCAAACTTGGTTACATTTAGGTTGTCATAAAATTGAACTCATCAACATGATGTGGTCTAAGATTCAGATATCTCAAAGAAAAAAATAATGGCAATTTAAAATATTTAAGAGTACTCTTCCAGATTAAAAGGAATTAATTTTTTTCAGAATTAAAAAACTTTAAGGTAAAAATATTTACTTAGCAGTTCTGAAAGTGTGCTTATGTTTTCATAGGGAGCTGTAGTTGTCTTTTGTAAGAAGTATTAGCTCACCTTACTATATCTAGCTTTATAGCGATGGCCATTCTTTTTCTTTTTTTCCTATTTCTTTAAGATTACTGGTTTATTTTTAGTTATCGCAGTGGTACAGTCTGGAATTACCTCTTCTTTGGGTAGGAGGAGATACACAGAATTAAACTGTAAGATAGTCACTTCTTGCTCTGCAATGGAAGCCTCTCATTTTCTTAGGCTGTTACTGATGAACAAATTATTTATTTATCTATCATTGTACTGATGAACACATGAGTAAATTTTAATCTGTTTGTATCTCAGTGGTATTTTAGTTTATTAAATGGTTTATTTAACTGTAGTTCTTTGTCCTAGTTAGTATCTGTTAACCTGTACTCTTGAAACCAGAGTTGAACTCTGAGGTGCTGATCATGAGCACTTTCTATTAGAGGTCACCCGCAAAATCTCACAGAGGGATTTTTGCAGATAATCTGGAAGTAGAATCATAAAACTATAGAACTTTACAATTGGAAGGGACACTTAATTTTACACATGAAGGAACTGAAGTCAAAGACATTGAAACAACTGGTACTACAACCCTGGTGTCCTTTCCTGTTGTACCAAAATGTAAGAAAAAATCCTTAAGTTTTGCGAATTTTGCTGGTGCTGTCCTGTAGGTTCGCTATGAGTCAGAATCGACTTGACAGCAACAGGTTTTATTCTTAAGAGTGAATTCTGATTTGATTTAAGACCTTTGCTCTTATATTAGTAAGGAATGTGTACTGCTTATTATTTAACAAAATACTTGAAAAATTTGTTGAGTGATTTATACTTTATTATAAAGTGCAATCAGTTTATTCTAGGGACTTTCACATAGATTGAAATTCCATAAAACAGTGTTCTATAAAAACAGTTTCAGTTAATAATTTATGTAAAGGGTACTAGATTTTTGTTTCCCTGTGAGAATCCTGCAGTGTATATACTATACTCCATTGTAAATTGCCTGAAAATTTTGATTAGCATTGTTTGGCCTTATTTGAAATCTGACATGGGTATTGATAGTTGTTCTTTTTAATAGGATGCTAACAGTTTCTTCTGAAAAGTAAAATGCATTGTGTTCAGAGGGTCTTGAGAGGTAGTTGTGGGAACTAAAGTGGTTTTTCACCTTAAATACATCTGTTTTTCTTTAGGGTTGTAGTTGATGCTGTTGTATACTATTGTTCACTTTCCTTAGATTGTCTGTTCTTTGTTGCCTGCCATACAACCATTTCACTGTTCATTTTTAGCAAGTGGCTAGGGACACTGGGAAAATCACCTCCACTGAGTGGGAAAGGGAGACTGGAAAAAAATTGAGAACTCCGATCTTGTTACTTGTTAGTACCAATAGAGGCCTTTCGTTCACAATTTTGGTAGTCTCCACCCAGCCTGCCTGCTGCATTCTGTGTACTGTGAAGGATATCTGCCTGTGATATGCTTTTTACATTTTATACAAAACCTGGAATCAACCCTCTCATTCAAGGGAGAAGCCTAATGGAGAAACTAATATTAATGTGTGATTTTTAAAAAACACAGATGTTAAATTGAATTCCCCATAATTTTGTTGTTTTTTATTGCGATAAAAAATTCTGAGCATTGGGTATAATTTCAGAGTCCTTATTGCTAACTGAGTTCTTTTACGATAACGCATGCGTAATTTCCTTTTAAGATTATCCTTTTTTCTTTGTATTACTTTTAAGAAGAGCTGTTTAACAGGACGCTTTTAAGTTTGAAGCAGAACCTCACGTCTAACCTTAGCACTGGGTGAGCATGATGTGCTTTGTTCCCATTAATACTTAGAGGAGGTTACGTTCTGTCTTTGTGCTGCCTTGTGCTCAGTCAGGTAAATTGTCATAGTCAAATATGCTAAAATAATTAAGCATGAGTCATAAAGATGAAAAGTGCTTAAAAAAAAAAAACCCAAAAGATGTGTGAGAAAAACTTGTTTTCTCTTTAATGGCTGTTAGGATGAAGAATACTTGCAGGCTTATGGTGGGCAACAAGGGATGCAAAAACAGGAAGACTATGTTGCTGAAGATAAATTAGATGAGATTACTGATTCCCAGGTTGCTCCTGAAACTGAAGAGGTACTTGTTAATCTTTTAAAGAGTCCAAAAGTTGCTGTTCCTTTCTTTCTTTTTCCTTTCAGATTTAAAATGAGCGTCTACTTAGCATTAGTGAAAAGTTGATGCATCTCTTCTTGGAACTATTGAGTGTAGTAAAATCCTTAGCTTTCTAGACTCTATGGGAAGTGAGTCCTGATGAGCTGTTTTCCAGACAGCTGTTCGCCGTTTGAGAGTTGAACTGTTTGAAATGTCTCATGGGGGTGGGGTAGATGTTTCAGGAAAATGTGTTGTGCGTATTACTCCCTCGAAAGGAGACCTATAATTATTTTTAACCTTTCCTGATTGACTAAGGGTTATCATTGTGATAACTCTTAATCAGGGTTTTATCCTTTCACCGTACTTATTCAGTCTGTATGCTGAGCAGATAATCCGAGAATCTGGACTGTACGAAGAAGAACGTGGTATCAGGATTGGAGGAAGACCCATTAACAACCTGCAATATGCAGATGACACGACCTTGCTTGCTGAAAGTGAGGAGGACTTTGAAGTACTTATTGATGAAGATCAAAGACTACAGCCTTCAAGTATGGATTACACTTCAACATAAAGAAAACAGAAGTCCTCACAGCTAGACCAGTAAGCAACATCGTGATAAACGGAGAAAATAATTGAAGTTGTCAAGGATTTCATTTTACTTGGGTGCCCACAAAAGCAGTAGTCAGGAAAGCAGACAACGTATTGCATTGGGCAAATCTGCTGCAAAAGACTTCTTTAAAGTGTTAAAAAGCAAAGATGTCACTTTGAGGACTAAGGTGCACCTGACCCAAGCCATGATATTTTTAACTACCTCATATGCATGCAAAAGCTGGGCAGCGAATAAGGAAGACTGAAGAAGACTTTGAATTATGGTGTTGGTGAAGAATATTGAATATACTTTGGACTGTCAGAAGAATGAACAAGTCTGTCTTGGAAGAAGTACAGCCAGAATGCCCCTTAGAAGCAAGGATGGCGAGACTTTGTCTCATGTATTTTGGATATGTTATCAGGAGGGACCAGTCCCTCGAGAAGGACATCA